ACACACACAGGGTGAATTAGTTACATAAACAGAAGTAGTCATGAAGAAGTAAATATTGCTGAGATTGACTAAATATAAGAAGAACCATAATCACGTGCCATCTGAAGACATGCGGCACAAATATTCACATTTCTCTAGGACATGCTAAGGATCGAACTCATTTTCGCTAGCTTACGGGAACACCACGGTAACCACTACACAACCAAACGAGCTCATTGCTACATGTTTACTATGATTAGTTTATCTGCTCCGCGATAGATTTCGTTATACTGTCTCGATGAGCCGGTGGTGGAAAGAACATTCGCAAGGAATATGGAATCGACGAGTCGAGTTCAAATTCGGAACTATTCCGTTGCGTTCACTTTCACACAAATGTCCTTAGGAATCCTCCTGTCTCCCATCTAATTAATAGATTAAACTTAATTAGACTTAATTAAATAGAAATGCGGACTTGGCTCACTAGCCTTGGTTGACGATCACTCAAGGAAGAAAATTCTGAATTCGAACCCAACCTCAAAACTATATACACGGTCAGTCTATATTACCACAGACACACCTACTGCTGCTACAGACATTAGGGGTGATGCAACTAGGGCCCTAATGCTATACGGAATACGTGTTCTTGATCATGATGTAGCTAAAACAAAATTAGGTAAGAAGTTAACAATATCTCAGCCACAAGGCATGCCAAATATATTCTTTTATCTTGGAAAACCTGATACCCACAGGACAAATTGAGGGCAAGATGGGCAGAGAAAAACGGCGCATAACATAATTGATATGCTTGAGTAAAAGTATGGCGGAACAGGGTTTATGAGAACTAACGAAAAGACAAAAATAATTAAGAGCTACATTAGACAGGGAAATGTGGAAATCTATGATCGCCTAAGTCCTGAGGTGACACGACACCTAAGAAGTTTGTTCTATGTAGGGATAAAGTTACATTTTACTGTGGATTCGTTACGAATCGAGCTTAATTTAACCAATGGGAAACATGACAAGTGCACCGTGAATCTTAGTCACTCGGAATTCAGTCATAACGATGCAATAAACTTTCAATAGCCCCCGAGACTAATTTTCTTACTATCACTCAACGTCTGGCATCTTTGTGCGTGTTTATATGTGGGATTTGGCATAGATTCACTAATAAAGATCGATTTTGTTTAACAGGAAATTGCGAGGAAATTTCAGTTGTTTAAGAAGTCGGTGTAGTGTTGTTGAAGTTTCTCTCCCAAACAAAAGAAGAAACATGTTATGTGTAAATGAAATGTGTATATCTTCTGAGTCTGACAAAAGTGAATTTTCAGTCACTTTTCTATCAGATGTAAATATTTGATTCACTATTTAAATATTTTGATCTCTTTATTTAGAAATTTTATTTTTGTAAAACTTGTCTTAACTTTACATAAAAGTTTTGGATTGTACACGCACACATATTTATGTATGTATATGGAGTTATAGTAGGCTGACGAAAGAAAATCGAATAATAATAATAATAATAATAATAATAATAATAATAATAATACAGAGTGGGCCAATATCTGCACTGGAAAATCTGCAACTTCTGCGGGAAGGAAACTGAAAGAAACTGGTATGAACACCACCCAGACCCGGTTACGGAGATAGGACCTGTTACAATTCTATGGGACTACACAATACACACTGACAGAACAATCAAGGCTAACCACCCAGATATTGTTATTAAAGACCACAAACAAAAAAAGTGCCTCCTTATTGATATGGCAGTCCCTGCTGAGTGCAATATATCTTTGAAGATATTCAAAAAGCTGTCAAAATACAAGGACCTTGAAATAGAAATCTCAAAAATGTGGCATATGGGAACATCAACAATCCCTGTTGTAGTTGGAACCCAAGGAATAGATGGAAAAGATTCCAGTAGATTAATTGAAGGGATTCCTGGAAGTCCATGCCTCAAAGAGATACAAAAATTGTTCTGACAAGTATATCCCACACTTTACGAAGGGCTTTATCTATGAAATATATTTTTTTTCTCGGTGGAAAGTGTCATGATGCCATTTCTAACCTTTGGTCACTGGGCGGGACCCGGAAAGAAATGTGTAAACGCCAGAAATCAAAGAAAATAAAAATAAAAATAATAATGCCTTTATCTATCTAAAATATTTTGATATTGGGGGTGGGGTTATTTTACAAAGAATGACCAATGAAAAATATCAGGAAGCAATTTCTGATCTTAGGTCTCTGGTTGAGTCCCGGAAAAAATTGTGTATACAACAGAAACCCAAGGAAATAATTGTTAGACATTTTGACGGTCGTCTTCGAGTATAGAATCCAGAGGTGAGCAGTGAATATTTCGGAGACCGTAGGAAAGCGTAGTTCAGGTTAGCAGTGGTATCAACTACGGCATTTCAGACGATTCGGCGATTCAACAAAAGATGAGAAAAATCTTTCGGACTGACCTGAGTCCTTTTTTGAACGGACTTTTTTTTTTTTTTTTATCTGTCATTGAGAAATGACACGGACCTGTCCGAAAATTTCGATTTTGCCATTTTTGCCATCTTGCGTTCATTTTGTCTAGTAGCCTCATCGTATACAACAAACATTATTATTTTTTTTCTGTTGTTATTTCCTTTCTGGTCCCATCAAGAGACCTAAGATCACCAATAGTAACACAACATTTTCCGCTCGGCACTTCGACGTGATGGTTAGAAAGCACGTCTTACTAGAAGAATTATGACTCAGTAGTGAATTCTATCCTCACTGAGTGCCCCATATTTTCGACCTTGTACCACATCTGAGCCACGCTTAGTAAAACGCCAATTTAGGAACAAAGTTTAGAAATGACATAACGCTTTTCATTTCGAATTGATTTAATGTTATAAAGCTTGTCTCGCTGGATTAGTTACGACTGAATAGTGAGTTCGATCTTGACTGGGTACTTCATACTTTCAGCCATATACGTATGTAATGACTAAAGGGAAAGAAAGTTTTGGACCTTTGTTTCATAAATCTTACCTATCATATCATGTGCTTTCAGTAAATCGTAGTGGCGTTAGATTGATTCATGTTAAAAAATAAAAACTTATTTATTATTTTGTATGTTATTTTAGAGAATACTCATATAGCTACGCTTAGGAAAAGACCAAAACATTTTCGTAAAAAACAATAATACAACCTAAGATTTTACACAGTTAAAGCTCTTCGTAAGGTATGAGCAGTAATTGTGAGGACAATGTTTTATACTTCTTTAAGACATGTTCTACACAGACATGCCTTCAATGAATCTATCGGAACCTTTTCCAATCCAACCCATCGCCCAACCAAAACTGGAATTATTGATGTTTTTCACTTCAAGATCCTTGTATTTGGATAGTTTTTAAAAGATCTTCCAAGATACATACAGTCTGCAGTTAATGGCATGTCAAGAAGAAAGGTCTTTGATCACGTTGTCTGAGGGTGAATAGTTTTGATTGTTCTGTCTTTGTGTATTGTAAACTCCCATACAATTGTTACATATCCTATGTCTGTAAAAGGATGTGGGTGGTATTCATACCAATTCTTTTGCAGTTTCCTTCCCGTAAAAGTGGCTCATTTTTTTGTGCTAACATTGGCCCAGACAAAATCAAAATCAAACAACGCTCATGCACGAAATACAAGATATTTTCAGTGATTCTTACGACTAATGGTGTCAAGATAGCTAAACGTCTAATCTGAAAACCTGGAGAAACGAAATTCAGTTTACTGGCTTTTTTGTTATTAAACATTGTGTGGGCTAGACAAGTATGCTGTAATACGATTTGGATATTTTTGCTGTTATATCTAAGAACTCTCAACAAAATCCAAAGACGAATCTGTAATGTAATCTGTTCTGACGTGATATCTCGATACCAGTCAATTTCCCGCCACTGTAACTTGGCTTCAGTATGTCTTTTCTATATTTTTTATAGAATGTGTTTTAATGATCTTTCCTCCTTTGTACCTGGGTCATATGAATCTCAGCGTACTAGCTCTCATCATGTTACTGTTGAACTAGCTAGATGTAACCGTAAGATGTAACCATAAGTTCTATTCTATTAGGTTCTAAACTTGTACATAATTTGCTTTACTGCCACCTACAATCTTCAAAAATCTCATGCAATGCTAATCGTTATCATCTGTAATCCTGAATCTCGTTCCTTTATTGACCGTTCTTCATAAAACGCTGAGTCCTAGTGCCATTAACGCATTGCTTGGGGTGAAGTGATTCAAAAGAAAGTGATACCAAATTTAGTGCCTAGTATGAAATAGCGAAGTCATCAATATGAACCGTAGTCAAAATCAGCAAGAAAATCGGTTAATACTCATGAGGCACAGAGTAGATTGTCACTTTTTCACAGTGAACCAGACTATGTGGCATTTTAGTCCTACAGTGCACAGGAACTGAATTTACAACGATTAATGAACCAGTCATTCACTTACGTGCTAATACCCTTGGGAAAGTTATGAATCCTCTTCTTCCCCCCACCCCAACTATGGGTAAATAGCAGAACAGACCGGGTTCTATAGCCTTGGATGGCAATTGGTCTACCGCAGAAAGAAATAGCAACCTACTGCAGGAAAAAAATCTGCCTCGTCAGTCATGTATCGAAAGATACATGATCGCCTAAGCGTATATCACGCATGGCACATACCTGACTGACTAAGGAACCAGATGCCTGAAGAATAATAGCCACCGAATCCTTAACAGCCAAGATGATTGACTGATTTCTTTTCGACGACTTATCAACCCCTTGGAGTTTATTTGAAGCCAGAAAATATGTTTTGATTGTAAGTTATATTTTTAGATAATAATGATTTAGTGACACGAGTCTTACTAATTAACCCGTAGCTGGAGGGAAGAGGTGGGTTCATACATTTTCCAAGGGTATTTGCGCGTAAAGGAATATAACGAACCCAACTGGAATTGGAACTTCCCGATGAAAAATTCCGAGCCATTATCTATTGCACCACTCTCACCAGGTGCTTGTAAGCTTGCATAGCTT